TGAATTTTTGACTATGTCAATATTAAAAAATTTTATTATTCACTTCAGTTTTTATTAATCTGCTTTTTTTCAATTAAATTTTAATTATATCTACATACATACAATTATTGCAAAACCTTGCACACTGGATCATGATGACTTAGTATTAGTTACTTAAAAGACTCATGGCTAACTTAAGAATTAGAGCAAGTACATTTCAATATTTTTTTTTAATCAAAAACGTACAAACAATTCACTTAGTTTTTATTGTTATCTTTCATAACATTTAAAGCCTACGCTTTTGATTAAATAGTTTTTAATATATTTTCTAATACATATAGTTTTTCGGAAGTTTAAAGGCTACATCATAATCATCTTTGATTCATTCTACGTCTTTGGTAAAGGTTAGTAACACAGTAAATTCCAGAAAAAATTATAACAAAATTTTATTGTAATGACTAAGGAAATGCAGTTAGTGTAAATAATTTCTTAATGCATTCCGTCTTACGTTCATGTAAAATTATTATATGCAAATTTGATTTTCGAATATATTTTTTACGATTTCAAAATATGTAATAAATATTGCACACATGAAATTGTCTAATCACATACAGCGAATTTTACAAATAGCTTTTAGTTTACTTACACATCGTTAATCGGATTCATAAATGTCGTTCACATATGAAAATTTGGACAAATTGCAAAATTGTTGCCAAATGTAACATACAACAAAATTGTACTAAAGAAACCCCTACATAAACTCAAAAATAATTAATACTAAACAATAAAAACCAAATAGTTTTAGAAATTTGTGAACTGGTAACACTCTCTGGGACTCCTGGAATTCCTAATTTCAATCGCGGTAATTTATCCAAGCGGCGATATGTATTTGCTAACAAAGAAATGCCCCAGTGCCTATTTGGGTTTCACTGTTTAAGCATTTTAATATCTATGGCAAGTTACGCATGGCAAGGGCAAGATTTTATAAACCGGTTTGGTTTCTTGTAGTTTAATAAGAATAGTTTAAGCTTTATGTTTGTCTTGTTTTAAATGTTCTCTCCGTCTGCTTTAGGTACAAAATTGCTAAAAAAAAAAA